GTGTTATTGCGTGATTATCTCAAGTGGAGAGCGGAGGGTGTGCAGGTGCGGGGTTGCTGTTGCGGCAGGGTCTGCGCGTCGAGGAGGCAGTCCAGGCAGTCCAGGCAGCCGACCTGCGCGGCGCTCGGGGACCGAGCGCTCAAGGCCGTCCGCAGGGCGAGGGGGAGGGGGGGGGGCCGCGAGCCGGGCGGCGGCGCGGGATGGCTCGCGGTAGGACTTTGAGGCAGACCGAGCGATCCCGGGCAGCGACACGGCCGCCGGCGTCCACGGCCAGCCCTCCCTTTACATCGTATATGGCCCACAATAGCCAGCCCCCAGCCCACCCCGGCGCGGCAGCTGAATCACCCCCCCCCCCGCTCCGCAGCCGCTCGCATGTCGCGAAGCTTGGGGTCATGGCAAGGAGCATCGGGCCGCAATGAGTGCCAGGCTGTGCCAACACACCCAATCCGTGATGCACGACACATCCCACAACGGACACACAATCAGTCGCCTCAACTAAGCTTTTAGGGCGAAAGGGCTGCGCCCCCAGCTCCCGCCTGGACAGACAGCGGGCTCAACAGCTCCTGCAACACGTGAAGCTCGCAAGCCACACAAAGACACCGTTTCACAGCCACCCGCCACGCCGCGCCCTCCCTGACCCCCCTCGCCCCTGGGCCGCGGCCGGGCGTCATCCCCGCGCACCGATGACGGTGGCCCTCCTGGCCTGAAGCGTCGCCAGCAGCTCCTTCTCCCGCGCGGGGTAGATGTATGAGATCAGCCGCGCCCCCTGCTTCAGGCCCTTGGCCTCATCCAGGGATGGAGGGCGCACCTGTGTGTGTGTGTGTGTGTATTTGTGTGTGTGTGTGTGTGTGTGTGTGTGTGTGTGTGTGTGTGGTTTTTGGATGACGGGGGTTGGAGGGTGGCGGGCAGTTGGGTGGGGTGCTGTTCCGATTTTGGTAGGTGGGGGGTGTGAGATGATATCGGTGCCACCAGCCACGCCGGCCAGGGGGCCCAGAGCACGCCGCTTGGATGGCGGGCTCGGTGCTGAGGGGCGGCCGCGGCAGATTCGAGGCGCCCAACAACACCTGCCGACACCGGTGACGCGCCGCGAGCATCCAGTCCCAGCGCACGCTTGAAGTGTTTCGTATCATATCATGTTTTTCCGTATCATATCATGTCAAATCATATCCAATGCCAGCTGCCCACCTTGAGCACGATGTCGCGCCCAAAGGCGTCGGAGGTCTGGCCGATCTTGGCGCCGGCCGCCACGTACTCGGCATCCTGGGGAGGCAGGGACGCCAGTTCGATCCCCGCGTTGGCCGGGCCAAAAGCGCCAAGCGGGGTAGCGGGGTGCCAGTCCCCCCCAGGCCCAGAGGTTCCACCCGTTAGAATGCATGCTGCGCCGCCTGCCCTGCCGAGCGCCGCAGGCACGGCGTGCGCACTGCCGCCCCGGGCGGCCCCGGACTGCACCCGAGCCACCCAGTGGGCCTCGGACAAGCCCGTGGCCCCGCTAAGCGGCGCCAGGGACTCAGAACGCAGCGACAGGGCGGAGGGGCGCGCGAGGCGCCGCCAGACGGGCACATGAGGGGGCAGGAGCTGCGCTGCTTAAGCGGGTTGGCCCGAAAAGGGCCGACACAACTCACGCTGAACTCGGCGGCGGCGCCGGCGCCAGACTCCACCACCACCTCTGCGAAGCCCTGGGAGGATTGGATACAATGAGGACGTGTCAAAAAGAGTTGGATGTGACGGTGTCAGCAAAGGGGCGGGCGCCGGCGCGGCGGGAGCGGCGGCCCGGTCTGCCTGCGACAGCTCGCTGCGGGCACAAGACCCTTCAGCCCTTGCGTGCCCGGCCGCCCGCGGCGCGCGTGAGGCGAGGCGATTGGGAGAGGGGGGCTGCAAGGCGAGGAGGCGGATTGTGGGATGGGTGGGGGCGCACCTGCTTCAGGAGCGAGGCAACGCCCTGGGGGGTGAGGGCGACGCGCTTCTCGTTCTGGGCCGTCTCGCGTGGCACGCCTGCATGGGCGCATGGGGGCCGCCGCATGGGCGCCGGCATGGGGCGCATGGGGTGGCGGACGGATGGGCTTCAGTTTGCGGAGGGCGGCGGGTGGGGGGTGGAGGGGAGAAGGGCGACGCGCCGCAGCGGGGGCCACGGGTTGTGAGGCTTGCAGACGTGGCAGCACGCAAGGCGCGAGGGACGGCTGGCGGCGCCAGCGCGGGCGCACCGATCGAGAGATCCTTGTAGGCGATGGGCGCGTGCTCTGTCAGGTAGCTGACGACGCTGACGGCGGAGCGGCGCGAGCGCGCGGCGGCGCGGGGCGCCCGGGCGGGCAGCGCGCGTGTCGCGGGGCCAGCCCGGGGGGCAGGTGCGGCGCGGCGGCTGCGTCGAGGGGGCGGGAGGGATGCGCGGAGTGGTTGATCCGATGTGTTATTATATACTGCAAGAGTGACGGGGTCTCCCAGGTGGCTGCGCCGAGCTGTCGGATGCAGTTTCGGATCACCTAGTTTGCTACGACCCACCTGCTGACGCGGGGTGCCGTGCCCGAAAAACGAAGCGGAGCTAGGGCTACATGGCGGGACGACAGGGCCGTCCGCGCCGAGGTGCTCTGCGCCAGCTTCATATGGGCGTGATCTAGGCGGGTGTGTCTGTTACCGTGTATGTTTGGTCGCGGTCAGTGGAATGTAGCTCCGCCAACGTCGTCGCATAAAGCAAGGTGGCATGGGGAGGCGTGCCCTATGAAACGCCATGCCGGAAAGCAGACAGTCTGGGGGTCCCTGAAGGAGCTCGGCCGCCAGCATCTAGTATGGGCGCATAAGCGCTATTACAACGCCCTTTTATCGCAGCCTAGGCAGCCGCTGCGGATAGACCCAGCACCATGGCCCCCTCCACCCACACCCCGCCAGGTCAGCTTCGTATCCCATGCCATGATCCACCGGGCCATGTGACACCCCGGCTCCCACGAGGCAGCCCATTGCAAACTCAAGCTCACTTCCAGAGGATCGGTGCTATTACACGCCCCCAGACTCGCTGCATGCACGCATGGAGGGCCAAGGACATGGCGTGCCACGGCAACCGACCAGCCCACATGGGCCCGCCCGCCTTCCGCCTCAACGGCTGCGCGACCGCCGCCCGCTCCGTCGCCCGCCGCCGCTCCCGCCCTTCCGTCCGCGCTCGGCGCTGCGGCTGCGGCTCCGGCGCCGCCGGTCGCGGCTCCTGCTGCGGCTGCGGCTGCGCTTGCGGGGGCGCTTCGACTCTCGTTCCCTGTCCCGTGCCTTGTCCCGGCCCCCTTCGCGCCGCAACGGGCTGCGGCTCCTGCTACGGCTCCTGCTGCGGCTGCGGCTGCGCTCGCGACGCCCCCTCTCTCTGCTGCGGCTCCTGCTGCGCCGCGCCTCCCGTCCCCGCTCGCCGCCGCCGCCGCTGCCGCCGCCGCCGCCGCGGTCCCTGCCGCCGCGCGCCGCGTCGCCAGCGGCAGGGGCCGCCCCCGCCCCAGCCCCATTGGAGCGCGGCGCAGGGGCGGCAGCAGGGGTAGGGGCAGGTGCAGGGGCGGGGGCGGCAGCGGCCTCAGTGGGCTTTGCAGGCGCCTCCTCGCCTTCCTCCAAGTCCATGTCCTCATCCCCACCCCCGTCCGGAGGGGGCGGCGGCTCGCTCCCGCCGCCGCCATCGCTTGCCGCGGCCGCGTCAGAGGCGGCCGCACCCTCGCCTGCCTGCGACCCCAGGCGTCAACAGATTCGTGGAAGTTGGCCCGGGGTCAGAACCGCCCCAGCGTGGCCGCTCAGATCGAGAGGGCCGCAGCTGCCGGCTGGTCGCAGCCGCCGCCACCAGCATCGGCGGGGCCAGCGTGATACGGGCGAACCCAGAAGCCTGCGCGCGCTCTGTTCTCCCAAACAGCGCGCGCGCCAAGTGCCGCCCCCTCCCCTCTTCCTCCCTTCTCGCCCCCTCTCCACTTGGCATCCCCTTCCCTCCGTGGCCACCCTGGCGCATGCCCGAAT